GCTCCTTTGTCCACCACAGATTATTTTGGTCCTTCTTATCTTACCACCACCACATTAGATTATAATAATTTTGCTTGAACCGTTTTGTTTGGATTAGAATACCCCTGATCTTTAGAGGGCTGGTTTTTTGATAGTCGGATTGAGTAATCATTATTTTTATTAAAAATCATGTTGAATCAAAAATTATCCTTAACTAGAGTTAAACTAACTTATGCCTTCACTCGCTGAACTGTTTATAGGTTCCAGTATTTTGCGAATAGAATTACTTAGTTCGACATATTTTTTTATAACACATAAAAATACTGTTTTACATTCTTTTAACACGATTATTTTAATTATATGCTTATTTTTTTTGCTGAAGTAACTATTTTTTTTTTGTTCTATTGTGAATGCTTAGTGTAATATTTTATTTATTTTTATTTTAACTTATGATTTGTTTATTTGTTTCATGTATGTGACCAGTTCGACAGCTATACTCAGGTAAACATAAACACAAGCTCGCGGGTTTGCTCGCAAATCAAATAAACTCGCGGCGTAAATTGGCTCGTGCCGCGAAGATTGCCAATTTCGGTGCGTGATGCCTCCGCCGCTCAGACGACTGGAATTTATCCAAAAATTGCATTGCCTGCTAATAGAATATCGTCAATTCTGTGGAGACTCGTCGATCGAGTAGAGTGTTTACCTTAATTATCTGTAGAGTCTTATCCGTTGATTCATTTTCTTGTGATTTTTTTGGACTTATAAACGCGAGTGTTGTAATGCTCATGAAAAAATCTATCCTTATGGGAGAATATAATTAGTTATCTTATTATTCAAAATACAACTTTACTTAGTATTTATTTGTATCATATTTTTAAACATGTTATGAGTTCTGCCAGATTTTACTAATAAACATGCAATTTTTTGTGAAATGTTTAGTAAGAAGTTGTTTTTAGTTTACTCAGTAATAATTTATTATTATACAGTAGTTTTGTTAACAGAAAACCTTTAACTTCATGATCAGAACAAAGGATTAATTTTATAATTATTACTTTATCACGGGTATTTACAGGTTTGCATAAAAAGGAAGATAAAAATATTACTACCAGTATTTCGTCAATTTTGCATGTACATACAATGTTATACTAGAAAATATTCTTAACCAAATTCCTATCTCGGACTAACTGGGGCTCGTGGATTTTTTAAACGTCTTTCATTAAGATTAACATATTTTTAAAATGACCGTTACTTTTATTTATTTCATAAATACTCGAAAAACCATCTAGTCAGCCAAGTGAGATTGACGAATTGTTTATCTAGTTTTCTGGATAAACATTTAATTAACATTTAAAATGAGCCCTGTAAAGGATCCAAAGCTCTTAAAATGATCAAATATAAACGCGTTTTTATCCATTGAAACCAGTATGTAAGGTCTAAATATATTTTGTAAAATAATATCAAAACGAAAATTTGATTTTAATAACACCGCTCTAACAGGCAAGTGTCGCGCAAATCGAATCGCTCAAATTGGCCGCTCGCTCAATCGCTCGGCGGCTCACGAGCGAGTGGCACAAGCGATATCTATATCCGATATATTACATTTATAAACTCGTATTGTTGGCTTTATGGAGGGACCTACTCATGTGGATGTAAACTAAATATGGAGTGTTCAACACTTATGAAGAATTGGCTATTTATAAATTTTTTAATCAATAGTAAAATGTTTTAGTGAAAATCGTCCTCTCATTAACTATAATAAGAAAGCTCAGGTGATGTTGTAGGGTCAGCAGTCTATTTCTAGTCACCATTTCAGCAGGACATAAAGGAGTCTATTCATGTAGCGGTCAGTGCGTTGACCGGACAGTGAATAGTACTCAGCACACAGCTTAGTTTTTCAGCTGTTATGTATTTCTCTTGCGCCCCTTGACTACACGTAATTGCAGCTGAAATTAAAACAGGTTTTATATTCTTTTCAAGAGCTTTTTGATAAAATAGGACATGAAATAACTGTATAATATCTCTACTTCTATATTAATTTTATTTTCGTGTTTGTTTTTTTATGAAAAACGATTGCTACAGCCAGACTTTTAAGATATGTGTTTTATATATATTTTTTGTTTATTGTTCCGGTCTTATTTATTATTTTGTTTTTGTATGTATATCAAAGAGTTTTTAAAATATATCTTTTTCTTACTTAACTTTTCTTTTATGAAACAAATTTTAAATTCTTAATAAATATATAATATTTAATAAAAGAAAGGTAATAAAAAAGAACAAAGTATAATTATTCGTTTGTATATTTTTTGCCGACTCGTATAACGTGTACCTGCCTGCGCACAAAAATATTGTTTATATCTCCTTACTTAGTATAAATCAACTTTGTTTAACAAATAAACTTAACATTTGAACACTTACAGAATATCGATTTACTTGAAAAGGGACAAGAATATTTAAAACTACGATTTTAAGTGAAACCACTTATAAATGTATAACATGAATAATTCAAACATTTTAAAGCATTAGTGAGTTTAGCAATCAGACCAAAAAACATGGAACAACTTCCTGAAGTTGAGATTAATCCTATACGATAAGAAAAGAAAGGATGGCAAAAAACTTCCGATATATTAATTTTTGCCATCAGTTTAATCAATTTGATTATTGGTTACTAATAAACTAGTATTTATTAAAATTTTCATTAAAATTGTGATATTTTGTAGGCTGTGATATTTTTTAACACAACAGTGATTCTTTTTATTTTTATATTACACGAGTCAACTAAGGCTGAGTAATATTGATAAGGCTTATCAATTTAAAGTTATGTCACAATAATGTTGAGGGGATAATAAATAATCAAAGATAGTAACTTAGCGCTACTTATATTCAAAAATAAACCTTTGAAGATGTTTGGACTGTTTCGATCCAGGAGCGCCATCTAGCGTAACGCTTATGGAATTTGTTAATTTCTTACGACTTTTAATTAATTAATTAATTGAATCAGGGCATCTCCAACTAAACTCCTGGGTTTTATTCCCTGTCGGGTCAATGAAGCAAATCAACTTTTATATTGTTCCGTGTCTGTGTTGTCTTGGCAATGTCTCTAAGCAATGAAATATAATGATATAAATTTAAACAATCAATGCAGATTTTACAACCTCATTAATAAATTATTCAATACATAACAAGCCTAGAAAAAAAACTAAATTAAAGGTAAGAAAAATACATAATGTTAGCGCAGTGGCAGTGCCACAATGGCACTAAAGTGGCAGTGTTCACTCCAGCGAGAGCTTCCCCTTATCACACCCTTACTTGAAATTATCCCTATCAGAACGAGCGCTGTAATTTTAACATTAAAACAAATGCGATATGGTGCATTTTAAGTTGGCAAACCGATGCGTGTTTACGCATAAGCTAGTCGGAAGTTATATGACGTAACATTCGCTGGTTGCCTGCCGACGATCAATAGCAATTCTTATTTTTATGGCGAAATTATGGGACTCTCTTGGAGAGGACGTAATTTGATGCTTACCTGCTGTATTTAGATGTATTAAGTGACTTGTTTGTTTTCTTCTACAATTTTTAGGAGCGAATGGGTGATCGAAACACTTTTTGTCTCATCTTTCTATAATGTGATAAAATTCGATTAGACGAATTATTTATTCTTAAACTAATATAAAAATAGTTTTGATTAAACTAACAACTTATAATTTTATTTTTGTAGTGTATTTACTCGCCTAAAATCTAATTCAGTACAATAAAGATGACTATGTCAAATCAATAACGTTAAGTACCAGCGCGTGGTACAATTTGTCTAAACAATAACGATAACATCTGTGTTGGGGATAAAAGTCGAAGTGAACTCTGATGATTTGATACGCCCGACGCTAGACTAATAGCCATTACTGAGGTCCCGGGTTCGATACCCAGCAGGTTCAATGGATCAAGCACTTTCATCATGTCTTTAAAAGCTTAAATAATATGGTAACAACAATATGCACAAATTTCCTGTAATTAATTTAAAAAAAATTGATTGGAAATATTTATTATTTTGCAGTCAGCTGACATGTCGTTGATTATATACGTGGTATTCAATGCTGACATTAGCGATAGATACCGTATAATTACTCTCTCTACGATACTATCGATACTTGGAACATTCCATTGTTGCATCCAAACCAATTAACACTCCAACTATTTGCACAAACAGACAGATCCCCGAACAAGTTAAATTAATTCAGTGCCAACATTACCGAGCCGTTTGACCTCATAACTTACACATCGCACCCCATTCGATTCCCGATTCGTCACACGTCCGCGCGACCCTCACACAACACTTACTATCACATCCAACGCTGGTTAAGAGAACTACATTTTTCTGTGTTTCACATATAAACAGTAATGTAGTAGTGACGAGAGGGCCACGTCGACTTAGGGGTGTACTAAATTTAATAATTCATTGTATTCATCGGCTACGAATTCAATTATCGGGTGTCCCAGAGGAGATGCATCCCTCGGGAGCGGTACCCGAGCTGTTTAGTAATTCATTTGGCAATCACATGCTGTAATTATGTGACGAATTCCCGACTGGTGATACTGGACAAACGGGAGTGGTTCGTATTAGTAGATGTTATTATCGTACTGGAGACTGCTTTAATTTTGCACTTATAACAGAGATATATAATCAAGTATCAGTGCTTGAATCTGACAATCGTATAAATGTAGTCTTTTAGTAATCAAATATGCTGGGTAGCTCGGTGGCGTAGTGCACAAGCGCCGTGATTGTTAAGCAGCTTTCGCGAGGGTCGGTCACGGGATGGGAGACCAAAACATTGTTATCTAGAGCTACTGCTTGCTTCGGAAGGCACGTCAAGCCATTGGTCCCGGCTGCATTTGCAGATGTTAATATCCACCAATAGGTGTGCGTGGTGGGTATTTTACCATAATATGTCAAATTCACTTCCTCATAACTCATAAACGTCCAAATCCTGGTCATTTGTAATCATTAAATTAGTTGTAGTTTTAGCATGGCCTGTCAGTTTATTTAAAGTAAAGGCAAAACATCAAATGATTAATAAGTTATGGATTGAAAATACTAAAATAGAATGTTTAAAGAAAAATACAAGTACCCTTACTACGAGATTTGCTACGCCGTAGCCTCGTAGTCATAATTGTTAAATAAAGTAGTGTCAGGTGTAACTTATAGATTTTCTTGTATTTATATATTGCTTATATTTTGTTTGAATTACGAAATCAAAAAAATATGTATTTGTGGATTTAAATATTTCCAATGTTCATAATCTGCAACAGTCCTTACAATTATTTATTCGTGAGAAACTGTGTAATGACATTGCAAATTTCGCACTTATAAAAATTTAATATGTCTAGTTCCTTCATGCTTCGAAAGACACTTTTAACACCCACTATTACGCTCTGGGCCCACGTGTTTATAATTTTACAGTAACATAGGTATATTGAAAATCTTTGAAATCGACAAAATGATATCGTTTTATTTTGAAAACTTTTTTAAAAACAAACGTCGACTGAATAGGGATGTCAACTGGGTTAAAAAAAATGCAATTCTGTTTAGTCCGTCAGTCAGATAATAGAAAAATATTAGATATGTATTTTTTTTTACTTCAATTTACCAAGAAATAGCTTCGATAACAGGCATTAAAGTTGAGGAGTGGGGGCTCGCTACGTCACAGTTGAGTAGAAAACGTACTCTAACGTGACCTTATGCGAAATTTCAACTCAATGTAACGCCGTAATTTTATGATAACGAAAAAAAATAAAAAAATACGTGTTTAATATTTTTTAACACTCTACCTGACGTATAAAAAACAAAAATTAGTCATCATCCCTATTAAAAGGTATTTCCTACATTTAAATGTTGTGTGTCATTTTGTGTCTACTGTCAGCCTTGACGACGGTGTACGTTTGTTGACAGGTGTACCGTCCCTGGACGCGGCGAAAGACTTCACAGTAGACGGTCTCACGGGGTACAACGGAAAGAAGAAGAAGAAAAAACGCAGGCACAGGTAAACACTCAATAAACATATCGTCTTCCACGTCGCCCAGGGACCAAGATATGGTCTTTTAAACGCAACGTAAATGATTTTACTGTTACTGCGGTTTCATCGTGCTCTGTCCAATTCAAAGATAGTAAAATGTCTAAGTTATAACAGGACAGACGACGAAACAGTCCAGAATATATCTATTATAAGGTCGATTTTAAGGGTACAGGATCTGATTTCAATACTACCGTGCTTTGAGAAATCCATTGATTTATGTATAGAACTAGCTGACCCGGCAGACGTTGTCCTGTCTTAATTATGAATATTGAATTCGAAGTTTTTTTACATCCTATTTGACGATATGGGCAGCACGCATTCTGTCACTTCTATGACAAACGTCATAAGATTACATTCAAAAAGCTTATATTATCCAAAGTAAAATCCACTAAGTTTAAATTAGAAATAAATGTATTTGTTGGTTAAATATTCTTAAATTTTCCACGAAATTTTCTTGTTTTTCTTTACTAAGAACTTTCTGCTGACAATAACAAACACAACATCAAAGAATTAGCGATATCGGTCCAGCCTTTCACGTGTGATGGCATGACCAAGGGAACTAAAGATATATAGGTATAAACGCCTACAGGTTTTGAAAAAAAAATCTATCACAGAACTAGTTTGTATTGGATATTTTTTATTAATGTATACCATTAAAAAAAGATGTAAATAATGAAACAAAAATGCATATACATGTATACACTTATTTCCCACAAGTAAATAAATGATACATTACAATGCAATGCAAAACTCTTTATTGTTCACATAAGACAGTGAATTACAAAATTTTATAGTAAATTAACACTATTCTCATTCAGTCGCAGTCAATAATATTGTAATGGTTTGTGTTTTTATTTTGTTTATATCTATCTTACTTGGAAATCTGATAGTTAAAAATATATTTATTATTAAAAAAAGAATAAACTGCTATGTTAAAAAAAAAACGTATTACGTAAATGAAACTGACGACGAGCTTTGTTTTCTTTGCACTGTATCTACTCTTGACACCAAACAGTTTGCATAAAAATATAATTTATTTAGTTTAAATAAACCTCGTGCATTATTAAATATAGTGAACATGGTCAGCAGAAACTTTTACGAGCCTCGGAGGCGGCCACTCGCGTAAGGAATTTGGGGAAACAAACCGCAGCGTTGACCACCGACCTGCTGAATGCCGGCGACATTTTTTGTCGACCTCTCGGAATTACCTCGGGCTTTGCTCCCAAGTGTCTCTATTGAAAACATTACATTTTATTTTCTTGCAGTAATTCAATGTGATTTATGTAAGGATTATACAATTAATTGGTCTCGACTGATAACAAAAATTTTGTAATAAGCTATTTGTAACCGAATATATAAATTTACATTACAATTACGAGTGTTTTGATTTTCAAATTTACATATATTACGTAATTGAAATGATTGATTGCGTTATTCAAGTATCTCAACACTATTTTCGGCAGAAATTATTAAAATTTATTCCTTCCTGGGATTCAAATTGAGTAAACTATTTTCTTAAAGTACTTCCGGTCCATTGTACTGTACACCGTACTTCTTATTTTATGTAATATTAATTCACCTTCATTAACTGTAGCACAGATATTATAATAGTATACCTTATTTATAGTAAAGAAATGTGTCTTTATTGAAGAAATTTCTTGATTTTGTATGAAATTTAACATGGAGATGAAAATAACTTGCGCTGTATGTCATAAAGGTTTCCAGTACCCGGTGAATTATTCTAATATCACAAGTGCTTGTTAAAATATTGAACGTTGGTTGCAGCCGCACCATCTTCACGTCGTATCAATTGGACGAGCTCGAGAAGGCTTTCAAGGATGCTCACTATCCAGACGTGTACGCGAGAGAGATGCTCTCGCTGAAGACAGACCTCCCGGAAGACAGGATACAGGTGAGTCACGTAGATCACACACTATATGTCTCCTGTGCAATCAATATCATCAATATGTATAAAATACCAATTGGCTTTGTAAGCAACCTGTAAATGGAATTTCAATTAATTCATAACGAACGATACAAGTTCTCGTATTAAATATATAAAAATAAGGCAATATTATAGAGAAAATTAACAAAGCTTACAGCATCGTTTTCTCTTAATCATATCTACAATTTTTATAAGTGCAACTTTATTCAGCTATTGAATTACTTACGTTTATTACTTCGGTATTATGTTTATTTTTTACAGAATAAATTAAATTAAAGTTTACATCAACTACAGGCAGCTTTTAAACTACACATACCCATATATTTATCAAAAGAATTGCACTAATATTTATATCTTTTTACATTCCTACTCTGTATCGTTCCAATTTTAGTATATGTACTGCCGAAGCAAGTACACATTCCTACTCGGATGATGCTTTAGTAGTATGCAGACGCCATCACGTATGCAGACGTCTAAATAACACGTTTGTCAATGTCAAAATATGTTTATGACTTTATTTTTATTATGATAACCGAAACTGAGCTTCAGCATTGTTTTTGATTATTTGTTTTAATTTAATGTTGATTGAATTTAGCGATAGGTTTTTACATTAATAAACAATAAAGCACTTATTGTAATTCGATATAAACTAACAAAAAAATATTTGTACATTACTTCAGACAATGTATATTCATTAACATCGGCTGAAGGTGTCATTTTTATAATACAACTTGACATCCAATCAATTTAGCTAAGAAGAGACGACTGCTGAAGTTCATCAAATAAATTCTGAGTAATAATGGGAAAATTAACTTATAAATGAGTATTAAATTTCTTAAATATCTCGGTTGAAGAATATTAATAAGTTACCTTTAAAATCCCATTTTGTTGAGTTTTTTGGTGAAAATTGTTAAAAATATGACTCACTATACAACTGAGGGGTGGTAAATAGATATTTTTCTATCATCTTCTTTTATATATGCGACTGACTAACTGACTGAGTTAACTATCAACGCAGACATTGAACTACTGGACGGACCCAGCTGAAATTTTGCGCACATAGTTAATATTATATGCGTGTTATGATAGTGTTAAGTTACTCTACGTGTATATTCTAAATTAGTCTATGTTTTATGTCTTTGGTCATGGTCGTGTACGTATGTACTTGTCAGCGTGCTCTAATAAAATAAGTAAATCTTATATATTAAAAGATTGTTAAGTGGGAAATCAATTATTATTATCTATTTATGGTGCAAATAATACAAACAACCTTTTATATAATGTGGGTTCGCTAATAATAGATGGTTATATATGGTTTTAACCCTTTGTCTTTGCGCGCTCTTCATTTCGTATTTTCTCGTATGAACAGTCAATCGTAGTTCGCTTATAAATGCTTTAAAAACCAATACGCGCGTCTAAAATAATAAAGTGGTGTAAAAAAATATGAAATCTGCAACCTATATAGCACTCAAAACGTATCGAATCTCTCGCTAGATGTTTCGCATTGAAGGTTCTCTAGGAAGTTTTGCACAGACCAATTATTTACGTGCTCAGTGTACCGTCTCCGTCCTCTCGCATTAGTCTGCGGTAACCGACGGACCGTTAAACGTCGACATTGTTGTCGAAATCGTGTCGAATGTCGCCGCAAAAAACTCGCATTATCGGCGTATTAGCACGTCAAATGGCAACGATTGTCGGGAACACGACACCTAACGTAAACGTACAGCCCAACCATTGTTTGAATTAAAAAAGGGAGAATATTTCTTGGCCTATAAGTTTTTTTTTCGTGTTTTAACGAAACGTGCAATTGAAGTATTTCGTCGCCGTACGTCGATATTTCCTTTTCCTGTTCTGTTTCTTAAAACTTACTAACTTGCACATGAATTGAAACAAATATAAATACATATTCGACGTTTATTTTATATAGTTTTTAAGAAATGTACACTATAAAAAATCGCTTCGAACTGTGGATTGTGTGAACTTCACAATGGATTTTAATATGCTTTTCATCAATATGGAATATTCAAGATGCACGTTTATACGTATAACTAGCCTTCACCCGCGTGATCTAGTTTTAAATCAAGAAATAAGAAAATTCCGGGGTCGGGGTCCTTAGGGGTTGAATTTCATAAAATACCGTCTTAGTGAGCACCTACGTTCTGAAAAAAACCCGCATGCAAAATTTAAAACTCCAAGTACTTGTAGTTTCTGAGATTTCGTGATGAGTAAGTGATCTTTCGCTTCTAAATATAGATGAACCAACTGATGAAATATTAGTATTAAATTTAACCTTATTTTAACTTATTTGTGAAAAGATTTGCTAATTTACTGAAAGATATTGAACAAAATTGTATTTATTTACAAATTGTTTGTAACATCTATTACTATTAGAAGTGACAAATTACAACAGATCAGACTATTGTCTATAGATTTTTAGTAGATACATACATTACTTAGAACTATTATATAAATAAGTAACAAGGCGAAAACTTACTCAGAATTATTATATTAGATCAATTTTGGATTCATCTATGAAAAATCCACTTTTAAAAAATTCAATATCCACAGCTGAATTTTTTAAGCGTTTTCATTAAAAATAATATGAAGCTTCGAAAATCAAACATGCTAAACATATGTTAAGTAAAAATCTGCTCAACACTTATGAGATAAGAGAGTCATATGTGTTATTTTTACAGTATACGTACCTAATATACGAAATAAATATGACATAGTCATAGTCATAACATTTTATTGCTCCATGTTGGTAAATGTTTTTACATATAAATTAGTTTTCAACATGTGTACTGAAAGAACATTGCAATATAGATAAATACAAATGTTCACAATATTAATGATCTTACATTTCATTACAATTATAGATTCTTAAAATTTATATTAATATACTTTATTATTATATTAAATTAATACTAGATGATATCAAATTAAATCAATTGTAATATCGGACTTTGTGAACAAAATCAATTACATATCATAATTACTAATAGAAAAATTCCTTTTAATTAAAGTAGCATCGGTCTATTACATAATAGGTCCAATAAAAAAATGAATTCGATAACAACAAAAAAGAAGGTACCACGATACCCAGACCCCAGACAATGTAGAAAAAAGCATTTTTTACATTCGTGACCGTTATGTTGAAAAGGTTTGTCCATCAGATTGATAGTTAAAAAATATGAAAAAGGTTTTTTTTTCGTAATCATTAAATGTAACATGACGTCACGCTTTGGTACTTTTTCTACAAAACTGCGTCGTAGCGAGCCCTCACTTTTTAACTTTAATGACTGTTATCTATTCTTGTTGTCTTGTTAAATAGAAGTAAAAATATACGTAGTATCTAATATTCTACTATTATTTGAGAGACGGACGGAAACAGAACTTCCTTTTGTTCCCCAGTTGTCATCCCTATTATAGACCAAAAGTTCAAAAATCAGTAAACTTTTAGTGTCAACAAAACCAAGGTCCATCAGAGATTATTCAAAGAATCAATATTGGTTATAGTGGAGTAAAAAACAAAAAAAAAACCACACAAAATTAAAGCAAATATAAATGAAGCAAAATAAAAAATAGTTCAACGCGGTTTTTTTTTAACGTTACCCAGAGATTTTTCTGTATGAATTGTACACGGTAACTCGACACTCGACAGTGCGCCTGTTCGCGGAAGGAAACGATCGGCGACAATGCGATTGTGGTGCTAATCGACCAGAATAACGCACTCTAGCGTCGAGACGGCTCACTAAGCCGTTTAATGGGATCTTAGGACAGCTGACAACGACTCGGCTCGGAATCAATTTAATATGGCATACCATATAGATAATTAATGGCGAATTATATTTAAAGACAATAAATTGAAATTTAATTACTCGGTAAGTCATTAAACGCTATGCTCACTTGTTTATAAGTTATGGTTTGGGATTATTTGTTTGTTTGCAAATGTATTACTCGTGTTGCTGTAACTTGTTCTGTGAGCTAAATAAGTAAATGAATTTTTAATATTTTTTTTTATATTTGATAGTGAAAGCGAAGAAATAACTGAGATGGACAAAATATTATTTAACCAATCAATAATACAAACTTAATAATTATATAAAAATGTGTGGCTTGGCGATTGCAGCCTACCCTGCCGAAAATATTAAGATGGCATCGTGAATAATGAATAAAATACACCGTACGCAGGATAACAGCTATGTAATAATTTATTTAATTATGTGGTATTTTAATGAATAGAATATAGCTAACTACAAGTTTGTAATTATAACTAACGGTTGTCTGTCCGTCCGTCGGTTCCACACAACGTTACCTCAAGTATCTCCTCGCCTCCCCCGCCCCCCGCCCCAGTCGCCGCTGCGAACACAAACACACCCCCACCTCAGCACACCCTCGCGGACATACATTTATGAAAATTTAATTTTCCACGACCCACAAACTAAAATATACCGTATACTGACCGAGTAAAGTTTACAGCCACTCCGTTTGTTTTGAAGTGGAAAACTTCTTTACTTTTTCGTTTATAAGGAATTTAGTGATGCTGGTAATAAGGTGCGTTTTGGAATGGAGTCGGGTACCGGTGGATCTGATGTGGTTCTTGGGGATTAGGTTTCCCCAATTGTGGCTCGCGAGACGCGCCAGCTAAACTGATTATTATGCAATCATACTGCGAGGAGTTGCCACATTGTCCTGCACAACCACTTCATATTTACGAATAACTCCAGGATCTACTTATTTCTATACAAAAATTATACAATTCTTAAACACTTTGTTTTTTTTATGACAAAGGCATTCAATTTGTTTTATTAAAATGTAATACATGGCATTTTAATGTACACACGACTGCATGTCAAGTAAAATCGAATGGGGATAGATTTGTATAATCTGACGGTCGTGCTGTTGACAGTACATACTTAGTTATTTTCTTATTTTAAATAAATAATAACTGTTTTTGACATAAGTTATCCTTTGCCAATAAACGACAGATAGAAATTGATCAAGATAAACTAACTACTTGCGAGTTACTTTAATGCAATCTGTAGATGGTAAAATAAATAACTTTTGTGTAATGTCTCCTTATTCGAGTAGATACCTATATTATAAATTAAAATAAACACAGAAATTTACAAGAACAGAAAATTATTAATATCAGCATTTAAATTATTTGAAATTCTATAATTAATATAAATTTTTATATTGTTAGATACTGCTCATACAATAAAAATAAAATATAACTTAAATTTGACAACCTTTATGTCTCACTTATTAGTTTCAAAGTGTCGTCATCTCCGAGGGACGATCAGGCCTATATATAAAATTACCTTTTCTATAGTCTTAATTTTCAATATTGTCTTGGGTCTGGATATTGAAGTGCTTACACTGTTTCAGGTTGCATATAAATATACATATTATCTAACATTTATTTATTTGAATTATTTTTAAATCTTATTTGAGTATGTCCGGAGAATGTTCTACGGACAGGCGGCTAGTACATTTTCCTTTTAAGTTTTTTGTTTTCAATTTAACCAAAATGTTTGATGAAAATATCAAAGGAACAGTAATCCAAACGTGGCTTCTGCCCCCTAATTGTCTAATTATAAATCTATTGCAATCGCTTTCAGTTTGAAAGGTGTTGCACAACCATTGCTGCATAATACAAATACTTTTTTTTCAACTGTCTTCAGTAACAAGCAATGGTTGTGCAACACCTTTCAAACTGAAAGCGATTGCAATAGATTTAAAATTAGACAATTAGGGGGCAGGTTGGCAAAATATCATAAATAGTATATGTATAGACGGTATTATTATCTGCATTACTATTGAATGTAATACATATTGTCATTATCCTTCTTTAATGCATGAAGTGTTTACCTTAATAGTATGTTACATTTGATGAAGTATTTTAGATGTAATAGCAAATGTTGTATTAATGTATACAAACGCTGGTGAACCAAATAAATAAATATAATGATATTACTTCAGACATCAAAAGATTATTTATGTAAATAAGCTATACTTACGATCCGAAGAAAATATTCAAATAAAACATTAAAGATGCTTAGAAATTAATAACATTTCATAAAAAAAAATATTTTGACAAAATACACAGGAAAGTCCTAAACATAAGACGATATATTATTTTTTCTTTATAGAACAAGCAACTGGCTCTAGTTTATAAACTTAATTAATCCAAAAAGTGCGATTCTTACTAATCTTCTGTCGTTAATAACTCTAATAAACCTGCATTCTAAGTTCAACACATACTTGTGGTAAGACCTGGTGACCTAAAGGTCAGGTCTATCCAAACGTGACCTTTCCCTGGTAGGCACCGGCCTCTCACTCACTGTACGATTGGTTTCTTCTTTCTTGTAAATTATATTATTATTATTATTAATAAATCGCTTTTTGTATATTCTACCAGTTTCGTTTTTGTCTCAGATTATCTACATTGTAGAGTCGACATAATTCTTTATATTTCTAATAAATATTGTCAGATTTCGTTCTTGTAGTTCTTTTAATAAACACTTTTGAATAGATGTAATGTTCAATTAGATACTTTATAAATTTAAAATATTTACACCATATATGTGTGCATTCGTTTTGCTAATAAAGTAGTCTATGGAACAACACACGTTAAACCAATACACACAAACACACTCACAATATTTCTACCACAAATACAGAACGGAGAGAAGGCTATCGATTGAGGCTTTAAAACAAATTGCCTACTAGTAAAGTGTGCTACGAAAACATGACTTGCAACGCCATCTGTCGGCCGCGCGCGCAAACCGCATCACCATGACAACCGACCGCTTATTGGCTACTCATACCGTCCACTACCGCGGCAGAACGACGTAACCACCTAGAGTGCACCATTCTAATCTCAATCATAGTGCGTTAATTTTAAAGTACACTTCGCGTGTTATGAACTGTTGAGTAGTGATGTTGTTTTACTGAGTTTGGGTCTATTAGCACCGCCCTTCGATTAAGCATGGCGGACGCATTGTCTCAGATAGTCTTTTTAACTTGGTCGTTGTGTTACGTGATTTGTGCTTGAATTCTTATAGGATATAATCAGTAATAATTACGAACGTCGTCGAACACCTGTTACAATATAATTAATTAATAATGTTAATGCGTTTCTGTTTCTTAATTAAGTTTGAGATTATCATTCAACCACTTCAATTGTAATTGTAACCACTTTAGTTGTTTTCAATTGTATTCAGGTGAGCGATTCGTGTCTTTTGTAATTTTAAATAAGTATGCATAATTGAAAAAAAAGTATGTGCAGTACAAATGATCGTTACCCTTTATACTGTATATATTTTATATCTCTTATAAATTAATATTACATAGCAGAGTAGACCTGAGTCTGTTGTATATCAGTAATAATTGGCAAGAATATAGGCACTTTAACGGAACCGGTAACCGGTACAAGTATTACCGGTAGCTGGGCGGACGGCTCGCAGGTTCGTTACCGCTGATATCCGATACAATCCCGAGGACTAGTAGAGCCTTTCACTCCCAATAGTGAAATTCATTGAATAGGTTATATCACAATTCACATGATATGGCATAACCTTATTCACAGTAAAAGGAAACAATTTTATATTCAGCCATAGATCAATATCCAGTTTTTATATCAATATTAAATTCACGCCATTCTTTATTGCGTTATTCTTTCCTAAATCAATCTTTATTCTTTGGTTTTGAGTATCTGCTCCTGCTCATCATGTAATTCAGGAAATCTACAAAACTATACTGAAACGTACGGATGTTAATTACCATTCGGTACCCCCTCCCCTGACTGGTAACCCTCCTCACCCCGTCCACCGTCCCCTCACCCCCGCGACCCTACCTTCGGAGGCATCCGTGGAATTGATTAACTCGCTTATTAGATTCTAATAAGATATAGAATTCACAGACTTATATTACAATAAGACAGTAGCTTCCGTTTTCATAAGCGGTAATAGAGGTTTTCTTAGATGATTTCTTGATGTGAAATTAGAATCAGCATTTAGGTTTAAAAAAACTAATTGATATTAAATTAATCCTTGGTAAGTTTTAAAACACTACGACATACATATTTAAATAAACAAACTATGTTTTATAAATACCCATTTAAGCTGTATTTGAAATTAAAAGAATTTAATTAGGCCACTTACTGGAACCTTCTCACTCTTACGTATATTATATATTGAGTAAAGTCAAAGTAAAATTGTATTTAATTATTTTTATCTCACTAATAAAATAATACTTCTGGAAAAACTCTAGTAAGGTGTAGGCTAGCCAAGATATTAATTAAGCAGATTGTGTATTTAATTTTCAACGGTAAATTTGGCAAGTAAATTTTAAAAATCTCAGTTCAACAGCTAATAGCGCAATACGCTGACACAGCAGACACTTTTTGTTTTCTCATTGAGGATTCGAAATTACGCTGAGCACAATGGGGTGGTGGTAGATGCGGGCGGGCGGTGGTGGGGGAACCGGTCGATGTTGGGTGGTGGGGGGAACGGTGGTGAATTTAACAATTAGCGTGCGTGCGCGAATACCGGCCGCGCACTACACTAGCCCACGCGAACGGTATGGCCTGCTCTACGGACTACGACAGACCGCTCATTGTACTCAATAACTTTATTGTATCGAAGAATATAAATATGTTACATAATTTATGTTTAATAGAGCCTCTCGGGCACAACAATATGCCTAGAAAGAAAGAATGCCAGTTTTAATTTACTGTTATTATTTAAAATATAAACTATAGAAAAATATTTTTAGGGAGCTTTTACATATAATAAGTATCAACCAAAATGGTTTAATATGTGCAAAGAATCTAAATATGTATTCATTTTATATTCAACAAAAAAAAACAAATTTAAGTGATTGTGAGCTTTTAAAAAATTAAGTGCTTATAAACTGTAATCGATATTAAGAAAACAATCTCTTAGAGTACCTATTAATTTTGTGAAATACTGATTTTCTTTAGTTTGATTCATAAAAAAATACAAAGTAATGCTACATTATTTTCTATCAATGAATAGATAGACTTTGTCTCGGGTCTAATTCATTGTTTCAAATTTGTATATGTAGCACAAAGCTTTAGAGAGAAATAAACTAATGTAATGTGATGTTCTATAATATCTGCTTAAAGCCACTCGTGAATCACACAAGTAATTGAAAAAAGAGGAATATAATTTTGAATGCCGAAATAATTTTTAGTATCTGTAAACTACACGCAGCAGAATATCAGGTTATCATAAAAAAAAATCCGCAACAATGCTAAAAATAAAACACTAAATTTAAAATCTAGTGTTTTATATTTAATATTAAAATTCTTTATAAGAATAAATACATTTTACAGTAAAAATGTGTCATAGATCTGTTTTACCTACTATTAACTAACTAATGTAAATAAAATGCATTTGATGCACATTTAAAACGGATTATAAGAAATGAAACTTTATTTA